AACCAAATCATGGGATGCCACGTTAATATCGCTTATTTAGTTGTGTAACAAGTGACTAGGGTTGTGGCCGATCACATTTTAGCTTGGTTTTCTTATATTTTTGCTCTAGTTCGTACGTATCCATACTTGCTCTGATGATGTTTGTCACAGTACAGACGAAAGCTTAGCACAGTTTCATCGGATTTGTAGGACAATAGTCTTTCATTCACGGCATTCCTACTCTGGTTTCAGTGAAACAGCATCACGATTTACTTCTAACCAACTTTCGCCTCGAACTGGGAATTAATCTGGCAATAATATATCATGAGAGAATTCTCCGAAAGCCAGTTTTTCTTCAAAAAAAGCCATCATGGCTTAAAGGCCCACCTAAAAACCTTAGCCGAGATTGCGTAAGTCCATAAGCAATTTTGCTTGAGATAATAAGATGTATGTTTGTAAGTTTGTAGGTCTGGTTATGAAACCACGTGTCATAGTCTCTCAATCTCGGCTTATTGAAGCTGAATAAGATTGCGTTATTTCATATGTCTGGTTAAGTTCATGAGCTTAGTATACATATCAACTGGATGCGAGTAAAGCTGGAGCCGTCACTGGGTTGACGGATTAAGTCGCATTCTTTTTCTTCAATAATCATTTCCAACTCATTATGATGTCCATTATTTGATGTATGAGATGTAATCATCAAATTTCGTTTAAGGTGATAAGGTACTGGTGATTGAATTTTCTCACTATGTTATCATTATACCTGACCCTTCTATTAAATTTCACATAGCCTTGCTTCCAAAAAGGTATTCTCCTTCAGGCTAACGTGAATTGCAGTTTCAAAATACTTCTCTGATGGTATCATTAGCCCCCCGGCGGGATTCGAACCATGGCGGTGCAATGTGTAATCTCGATACGCTAACCACTACATCACATTGCTACAAATGCCCTTATCCAGGTGTGAATTGCAAGTGTGGTAAGGCATTTTCCCATATCACATTTTGTAGTGGGATTGTCGATGAAGCAAAGTTGCATTTGCTATAACAATAGACTACATTATTTGTTTTTCGTTTGTATGTAGGGTTTCAAGATTGCCATTAAATCATAAAAAAATTTTACTTATATGATTGTGGAACCATGGAACCATGGCGGTGCAACGTGTAATCTTGACACGTTAACCACTACATCACATTGCCACAAATACCCTTGGCTGGATGTGAATTACAAGGGCGGCGAGGCATTTTCCACCTTAAATCACGTTTTAACACTTTTCCATTATTATTAACGATCTGTGCTATCCCAAGACTGATCTTTCACTATGAGGATGGTCGAAATATGGTGGATGAAAGGCTAGCAATGGAACATTGATAAGAAAGGTAGGTTGACAAGTAACCTGAGAAAGAGACGATAAACATCTAATTTTTTCATGCATTTATCTCTTATTCTCGGTCGTAATGTTTGACTTGAATCGTTATTATCATAAGTAGTATGTTGTCTACTGATGAGTCATGGGTTTTTAATTTCTCAGTTATTGAGGACCACAGATCTGTCCATTTTTTGCCTCTTTGCCTTCCTAAAAATCCTTTTAATTGTCGTCTTCTTGCTGGAAGAGTATGCATAATGAGTTGAATTTCATAAAGTTAGTTACCATCTGAAATCATACGCCATCTTAAGATGGGCCTGATCAACGACCCATGTTGTAAAGTAGGCTTCTATTGTTAAATCAATTAAAACAAGGAAGCGTTAGCACCACATTGAATAAGTGAAAACATAAAAAAGTTATATGAGGTGCATTCACTCGATTTAGTTTAGGGTGATGAAGAGCCTGCAGTTGAATTTTTCACAAGGATGTAGGTAGAGCTGACGTTTCCATTGAATTTCACAGCCTTGTTTCCCCAAAAGATGTTCTCATTCAGGGTCTACCGCAGTTTCGACCTCGCCTAGGTCTTTTCAACATCCCCAGCGAGAGTCAAACTATGGCAGGGCACTGTGTAGTCTCGACACGATAACCACTACATCACATTGCCGCGAGTCCCCTTGGGTTACAGGGCAGATGTGAATTTGGGCAAGACAAAACAAAGTGAAATTCACTGAAAACCTCAGCTCTACTCAGATCATTGTGGGAAATTCAACTGCCAGTGCTTCATCAGCGTAAACGAAACAGGGTGGATACATCTCATACGACGGATTTACTGGCAGTCTCGAAAGTCTGCTTATAAAATCAAAAAGTTAGTTCAATTTCTAACGCAACTTAACACTTGCATTCATATGTGTGGTATGGCAATCATACACTTGTAACTATCATATGTTTATAGTTATAAATAGATAAATAAATAAATATATATATATATATATGCCTATGTGAAGTCGCTTAATTCACAGAACTACTCTCTGTAGCGTCTCCACTGTAGCATGTATATGAGAATTTCACTTCATGGGTTCATCAAACTTTGAGTAGTTCAATCACCTTGCCACAAAAGTAGTCCAATAATGGAGTCAAATATTCGTAACCATTGCTCTGAAGTTGGATTTACTGATTATTCAGTTCGCGGTAAACGGCATTTTTTAAGAACATACCCAATTATTAAGGTCAATTCAGGCGCTTTCAGCCTTTTTTTTATAATATTTTGGCAGAGTCGAATGTTTTCTATGGCCTGGCGTCGGTTATAGAGGAATTCCTCGATATGTTGCAAAGCGTAGTGTGATCAATCGGAGGACGTAGTGATGGAGGCCATTATGCTCAAATCACCCAAATTTCTAAAGCACAACAGCCCCAGATCAGCATTTCTTGTGCGTCACTTGAAGTCGGCCAGTTACTCTATTCGGCAAATCTTTTAATATAACTTGTCGCTTGTAAGTAGGCTGTCAGTAAACCATATATGTGGGATGTGTTTATTCTATTTCGCTTTAGGTAATTAAGGATCTGAATTTGAGTTGCCTCACAATAATAAGAGTAGCCATAACATTTCCATTTATTTTCACATAACCTTGCTTTTCCAAAGGGTATTCTCGTCCAGCTGAACTGTAGTTTTTACCTTTCCTAGGTCTTATCAACACCACCAGCAGGACTCGAACCACGACAGTATATTGTATAATCTCGACACTTTCCCTTCTACGCCACGTTGCCACGAGTGCCCTTGGGTCACAGGACAGATATAAATTTAAAGGAAGGCTAGGCATTTCCCTATATCATATTCTGTGGTGGGATTGTCGGTGAACCCAAGTTATATTTGATAAAGCAATCAATTACATTATTTGTTTATAATTTGTAAGAAGGGGTTCGAGATT